ATGCAATAAGAAACTAGCAAGCACCTTTAATGTGCACAGAAGAAAACAAAAGTTGACACAAGCCATAGACCCTTACTCCATTCACCCCAATTACAAGCAGCGAGTCTAGCTTATATTCTGTTCGAAAGTGCAAGCAAAATCTTCAGACAGACGACTGACAGCCTAGTGTTCATCAACCATACAGTTATTACAATCCCATGTCCATAGGTCTCACTACGGCCCATTAAATCAATCACAACTTGTATTGCACAAAGAGGGAAATAAGTTGAATAATTCAGCAACAAGCACATGCACTTATTATTATTTGAATGTCTATATGTAGCACTGAGACAAACTGCTTAAACAAACAATCGAGCTAAATCACTCGATGGTGACTGAAAGAAAAGAAGTCATGAGGAAATCCTTCAGCTGCCCAGGAGCTCACATTCAACTAAATGCAGCTTGAGAAATGAACTGAAAACATCAGGGTGGCACAAAGTTCCATTGCCTGATGTTGTAACAATGAACCTTGCAAAACAAACTGTGACTGATATATAGGTAATTTCATAACTGCCACAGGAACTCACTCTTCACTCTCAGGGAAATGATGGACCTTACAACAGCACAGTGGCAGGTGGTTAATTCAAGGGTTGAACTGTAGGATGTGAATAATAATTTTTGTAATAAGCATCAGCAGTTAACGCGTGTCTAAAATGACCAGCTATAACAGCTACAGACAAATCATTTGAGTTGTATTAGCATCATGTTTTGAAAAGCCAACTTACTCTCTACACGCTTCAGGCTTTTTCTATGAAACTACCTGATTTATCACACCTCACAATTTCAAATAAATAAATCATCCATCTATGACAAGTCAAGTGTGGTGAAATAAATACTGACATTAACATAACAAATCTGTCATTGATCTGCATTTGGAAAATGAATTAAGTAGAGAAATATGCATTGTTCTAAATGACACTGTTGCCACTATAATCAACACACTGACTTCACAAAGCCATAATGGTAAATGGTCTTATACTTGTATAGCACCTTTCTACGCTTTTACAGCACACTCAAAGCGCTTTCACATTATTCGGCCATTCACCCATTCGCACTCCCAAGCACTCACGCATTCACACACCGGTGACATCACCGGGAGCAACTGGGGGTTCAGTGTCTTGCTCAAGGACACCTCGACATGTTGATTGGACAAGCCAGGAATCGAACCACTAATCCTCCGGTTAGGAAACGACCCGCTCTACCTCCTGAGCCACAGCCGCCCCCCCGATAATGCACAGACTGACTACAAAAACTAAAACTGCAAACAACCTAACATTTGATATCAGATGTACCTGATTAATTTTTCATGGTTTTTTACAATAAAATGAGTATAATTTTAAACATATGTCATAATGCACTTTAAATGTGAACTTTTGTCTTTATAGGTTATAAATGAAGTACAAACTGTTGGGTAGGCAGATGTTCTTGCAGTAAGCTTAAGAGTGTACTCTTAGATCCTAGACAGACCACACACACAGTGTCAAACATTAACTAGACTTCAGTGACATATTCAGGCCCAATAAACCTAAAAGAGATGCAAACACCAGCTCTAACAAAAGATTGCTCACTTCTCTGTCTAGATTAAAAGTCAACAGTGAGGGTGTGGACCGACTGTTTATACTGCACATCTCTTACAATGGATTTTAGGATTACATATGGGCATGCACAAAAGACACTGTAGTCGTATCAGTACAGCACAATTGGCTGTCAGTCCAGGTCTGGCCACACTCCAGATATCTATCCACAGTCCAACAGTCCATACTCATAAACATACTCAGCAGTCGAGAGATACGCTTAACAATGTTAAGTTCCCACTGCGAGGCTGCAACCTAGCCAATGCAAAACTAGTGGAGTTGGTGACCTAAACACTACTATGCCAGCAGAATGACTGCAAGTTGCCGACCCCCGTGACTACTCAACCCAAAAAGATAAACAAGAAATTTCTCTCTTGCTCTGCATCTCCAAGACATACCCAACTACTCAGTCATGCTATGGCTAGCTTTATTACTCAGGGTTTAAATTAGCATCTTGGACATCTTAGTCATTTGTTGCTGAAAGCACTGTATACTTTTGCCAGTGCTTGCACATCTATAGGAGCACATCTATGTGTAGCAGTGTTTCCCCCTGTTAGGTATTTTTAGCCAGATAGATACTTTATGTATCAGAAATGTTTAGTGGAGATAGGATGTCTAGTTAGACTGTTAAATGCTTAGGCATGCTTATGAGTTTCTACAGGGGACATCTGGTCAAGGATAACTAGAGAGAAGAGTTGATGACTGTCAGCAGACAGGGTGTTTAATATTATTATTATGATGTATATAACTGTAGCCTTAGCCATAATATGTTCTTATGTTTAAGTCACGACATGTCACTAGAGGTCGTGTGAGAATGTTTTTAGCTACACACCACTTAACCAACAGACACACACATTCACACATTGATTTGCTTCATGTTTTGACTACTGCTATGGCCAGCTGCAAAGCTGGTCTCGGTTGACGTTTCTGTGTAGTATGGGGCTAGCCCAACCGAGGTGATATAATGTATAGGCCTGGTGGGTTCAGGGCCTTTCATCTTACATCTGCCTGCGAGCAGTTTGGAGGTGCAAGATACCTGAGCGTGTAATGTTAATTTTAGCTGTGATCCTTTGAATAAATCAGCACAGTTTTGAAGTTACTTGGACTGTCTCGTCTCTCAGAGTTAGCAATGGTAATAAGAACCATATCCTGCACCCCCAACACACACACACACACACCACAGAAAGACATGATAGTGCAGTCAGTAATGTCATTTATTCCTCTCTCACAGCACACTGGTCAGTACTGGTTGGTTGTTACAGACAGTTATCATATTTCACCCTGCATTAAAAACACAATATGAATTCTTGTAAGACTTCACAAAATGATCCTAAGGAAGGCAATGGAGCAAAGCTAGCAGGACACACCTGTGGGTACACTCCATGGAAGCATGCCCTTCACTTAAAGCCGAACACTGAGGAAGGCAGGGGTATGTATGGAAGGAGATAAAGGTTTATGAATTAAGAATAAGTCGGATAATTAAAGTTAAGAAGAGAAGAGTGGAGAAAAGCTGGGGTGAGCGACAAATAGAGGTAAACTGTGATGTAAGCTCTGAATGTCAGCATTCATAAATGTAATACCATATGCAGAGCAGATTACCAAGATGGATGCAAACTATTAATCTAAAATAGACACCTAATGTTCTTGTCACAGTTATTACAGATATTAGAACCACAATATCCAACACGTACAGTGAGCACCACAGCATGCATCAGTTTTTGCAGCATGCCGTGAGCAGACTGATCAAACAGAAGAGAGTGTGCAGCACATGGTGGCTGCCCGCTGGGGCAGGTTTACGAGCCTCCGAGCAGCCAGAGCTGTTATGACAGAGTCCCCACCTGCAAACACGGCGGACGGACGAGCAGGGTGCATGCACGGCAGAGGGCTGCTTTGGTAAAAGAATACACCGGAGATGTCCTTACGGCTCAATGCGTGTAGCCATCTCTCTAATGAGCTGTCAAGTGGGAGATTAAAGCGTGGCGTGCTGCTGGAGGTAGCGCTATCACAGTGAAGACTGCCTGCTAGCCAACCACACCCCACGGCGAAATGCGTGGGGCTGCTGCAGCATCCTCCAGCCACAGAGCTCGGATGTCCTTCTTGCGCTCAGGCTGCTGTAGCCAACAGTCTAACGTACTTATGTTTCTATATGAACCACTGCCATGTAGCATTTCCACTATTCTGTTATGGAGTCACCGCAGACTAATGTCGTGGCCCATACTCCACCAGTGGCCTACAAGAGAAGGAACCCTGATAATGTAAGGGGGGGGCAGGCAGTTAAACGTTTGAACATTAACCATTCGTGTTGGGTAACGTTATCACCAGGCTTCATACTTCCTCTTTGGCTAGAAGGGCAGGCAGAGTCGTCACTAGGATGCACCATGCAGCCTAAAGACATTCACATCCCCCTGTGGGCCGATACGAGGCTCGGTAGTTACTGTAGGCAGCCCAAACTCACATCGGAACCCTGACATGATGAAGCCAGGTCGGTTTTCTGTACCGCACTGTAAACGGATGAAACACGAATGTCGGATATGTGTCACAGCAGCTAACCGCCTACCCGTCTCCACATCAGCCTCCAGAAGTTGTTTGTCCCTACAGACCAAATAAACTCACCTGAAATGGAGGTCCGGTGCTCACCAGTGGGCTGATGTTGAGGCGTCGCTGTCTAATTTGCTTCACATCCAGGAAGGGAGGCTGGGCTTCGATGTGGAGGGCTGGTTAACTCAACCTCATGCACTTCAAACACGCCGAGCAAAGCTAACTTCAATTTTTACAACTTTATTTTTGACACATTTTCCAGCAATTAACACAACGGTCGAAGTTGTGTGCCAGACTTCTCTTCCTCTTCTCGCGATGCACGTTGACATGTCTATGCGCGCGCACACGAGCGATGTCATTCGCTCCTATGCATTTTACCCACATGGGTAAAATTAATGAATGGGTAGATAAACTGTTTCGACGTGAGGAAAAAAGGGCGGGCGTCGTCGGTAGCGTGATAGAAGCGCGACACCTGACTGCGTGTTCAAGAATGACACCGCGCGCGGTAAATGCGTGGTCACGCTAACTGTGCAAGGGAAACGTCCGTCGTCAGGACGTACGGTGGCATAGACAGATACCTACGCAGGAGAGTTCATTTGTTCCAGGTGCGTCTCAAAATATTTTTGTGTTGCCTAAAGTTTCACAGATAAATTGTTTTTATACTGAAGTGTGTCCAACTCAATGAAGAAACGATGGAAAGAAGATTAAAACGCAATATTTCTGTTGTGAATAAAAAATTTTGCTAATAACATTAACATTTTCTTCTACCCATAATGTCACAGAAACAAATTGGCGTATATATCCTCTTCTAACTCCATCTTCTTATTTATGGTTTATTTAGGCTTATATAGCTTATAGTGATTTTATTAGTAGTAGACTATTTCAGAAACTTTAGTTAGTGAATGATATGAGTCTACGGTTTCTTTAAGCTGGCATCAATGTAACAGAATAAAGGAAGATGGGGAAATGGAGACCTTTATTAGTTGCCTTAAAATCATTAATACATCTTTGCCATTTCATTTATTTATTAATTAGGCTTAGAGACTATGTTATCCATGCTTCTGTATCTAGTAACGTTATATATCTGATATGCTAGACTTTTTGCAGGCTTACATTAGATGATGATGATAATGATGATCATGGTGATGATTACTAATATAGGCTATTCTGTGTAAAAGCTGCTGTACCTCTTGCCAGGCATCACTGAGGTTGCAAAGCTTAACCAGCATTACTATTATCACCACTATCATCATTCATACAAACTCAAAAACCTACAGATTTTCTTCAGTCTGCATCTTCATCTATATAAGTGATGCTGAAGCTTATTTATTGTGAGATTCTAAATTCAGGATTTTCATCTAAAATAATATGAATCATCAAATCTTAAAAGTAGGTTATGAAAACATAAAGGTGGCGTGATACCAGTGTGACCCAGATTCTAGCGGATGCAAAGACGTACAGATGCTTGTCTGTGCCTCTCCACATTGCACCTGTCTGTCATTCACAAGCTGCACCACACGCATCATCACAGATTTCTGTAGCTGCAACATATGCAGCCTATAGCTGCAGGGTAGCATAGGCCAGAGGAAGTGGGAGAAGAGGAGCCCACAGTCAGGAATGAGTTTCGAATTATGTCCTCTCCTTGCACCCCTCCTCAACCAGAACTGAAGTCCCAGCAGGCATTTTACAGACTGTTAAGGTTTGTGCTATTTATATGCATGGAACATTATGGAGAGAGATAAAGCAGACAAGCAAAGAAGGTGCGTTTGTAGTATTAAGCTGCAATCCCATTCATATTCTTGCTGACACTAGAAACAAACAAAAAAACAGACGCTCAGATGGAATGATAAAGTTAAACAAAACATTTTGGTTGCAGGCAGAGATCGATGAGGACATGGAGGGATGTGTCTTTTTTTTTGCTGAAAAATTGACTCAGACAGCAAATGTGTGTCAGAGAGCAGTATGAGTATGAGTTAATTTTTCTTTTCTTTTTTTTTTGCTTGAGGTACTCTTTCAGGCAACATGGCATTGTGTGAGTTTGTTTCTGTACCGTGCTGCCTCTGAAAAAACAACAGAAGAACATGAAATTTCCCAGAAAGACAATGAATGAAACATTTTTCCATTTGACATCACAGCAATCGTGTGGTATCTCATCCTCAGATTAAAGAACAACCTAAGGTGTTATAAGAATGAGGTGATAATACTGGTGATGGAACTTTTTAAGCAAAGGTCTTCTGATAGAGTTATAAAAGAGGCTTATTTACAGCTTTCTTCAGGGGAAAACTAAACTCTAATCTCACTCATTAACAGTGGTAATGGTAGATCTAGTCTATTTCCATTTCTTTTGCCCAGATATGAGGAGCACTGTTATGTGAGAAGTCACTGTTTTTATTAACTTAACATAATCATTTTAGGTTTTCAGCATATCCATGAGAGCTGTCCATAATAAGCTTAGCATATTCATGACTTCTTACAGATTAAATGTATTATATCTTATAGAGACAGCCTTTGGAATTTAGAAGGGACCAGAGACTCAAATGAAGAATATACCTGCTGTCTATACAAGATTTAGTGGAAACGCACACACACATAGGGACGTTTGAATCAAACAGACACTTTCAAGCAAATTCTGAAGCCAACTGACCTATTTTCCACAATATAAACCCAAGTCCCTAGTCTGGACTACTCATGGCGATGTATCATTTTCATCTGAAGGTAATTAAGCTTTGCGGGCATGACTCACCACAGTTAGTCACTTAAAGAAATCATAGCCTGATGTTCCGTGTCCATCCCCAGAACCTTCACTCTTAATCTGAATGTAAGATCTCATGTGTAGCAGTAGAAAATTAGAAAGTTGCTTTGGTTTCTAAAAGTTTTTCAAACACAGAAACATAATTCTGCCTCTGTTCCCAACTGTATGAGTAAGATATGAGGTATTTAATGGAAATGCTGGTGTTAAATGTTCCATTGGACAGTCCAGTGTTATTACTGCCCACACCCACAATCATAATACATGTTGTTTAATGTATGACTCCACTTGGAGAGTATCAGAGCTGTATTAGCATTAGTTCCAGTAGATGAAAATGTAATTAAACAATATATTACTTAACTTTCCATTTGCATACTGCACTTCTGGCGTTATTTAACATTTAAGTCTTTATTGATATTGGAGTGTGTTTGAGTAGAGTATTGGAAACCAAATTCCACTGTAAATACAAAATATTTTTCCTACCAACATTTTCAGGACACTGAACTGACAACACATTTTTCTCTTTTGTCTTAATATCCTATCGAGAGAGAAAAATCAAAACAAATGTAAGCTCAGACCTGAATGGTTGTGAATAAAGCCTAGTTTGTATACAATTACTTCATTTCTACTTTTCTGTGCCTTCTTTCCACCACAATCTCAAAATAGCAGCAGATCAATACAAAAAGGACCCTGCAGCTGAAGAAGGAACATAGGAAGGAGCTGAGTTTTCCCAACTTGAAAATTGTGTAGGAAGTGCCAATGATGTACAACAGGAGTTCATAATAAGCAGATTTATAATAAAATGATTCATGATCTAAGACAATTACTCAGTAGCATGAAAGCTGGATTAGCTCCTGCCTGTAGGTGATTGTATGATAGATAACAAGCTGTTTGGTTTTATTATCATAACATAAACAAGCTGGTGCAGTGGATTGTGATTAAACTATGCCACAGGTCATGAAAACTGAACAAAGTTTCAGCTGGCTAGACTCCATCCAGCATTATAGCCCATTTCCCAGTTGAGAGAAACATCAAAGGTCAGAACAGCCACTGTGCTGCATTTGTGATGAAATACTCATCTTCACTGCAGTCAATGTCCCTTCTCAGGAAACCTTCTGGTTGCTATGGTTACTGGCCATACCTCCTCTCCTCCTCCTCATCGGGTTTTTCTTCCTGTGAGAGTCACTGGAAATGCTTGAGGAGACCATGGGTGTGGCCTGCACAGCACCCTGTTATGTAGGCACAGAGAGAATAAGGGGCAGCGTGCATTTTGGGCTAAAAGTCTCCACATAGTTGTGTCGTACAGCAGCTTTTAATCTCTGCAACTGAGGTGGAAGACTTGCCAGATATGAGATTAGATAAGATGGCGAGGAATCGCCATCACTTGAGTCTTGTAAGCATGACGCCCTTGAGAGAATGCAAAGCAGACTTGAGTAAAAACAACAGCTTGTTTCAATTTTCAATCACCTAAAGTAATGACCACATGGTGACTACATGTTGACTATGACCGTATCAGCAACGGACAATGCTGCACTAAAAAAATCTGTGGGTAGATTTACATAATCTAAAGATTTAGACCTATAACAAGCTCATTATTTCAAGTATCTTTCATGAACAGCTTTTCCCAATTTAGAACTGTGTCGGTGAAAGAGCATATGTCTGAAATCATCTCGTTGCATTGGTGGTTCAGTGGTAGAATTCTCGCCTGCCACGCGGGTGACCCGGGTTCGATTCCCGGCCAATGCAGGATCTTCATTTTGTGGGGGGCGACAGTGGTGCGGTGGGTAGGGCGTCGTTTCCCACAAAACGAAGGTTGAAGGTTCGAATCTCGGTGCCGGTAGTCCACGTGTCGAAGTGTCATTGGGCAAGACACTGAACCCCGTTGTCCCCGATGGTTAGAGCAGTCGGTTGAGGTGGCGCCGCAGATGGCTTACATCGGTTCTGTACCCGAAACAAATTCTTTGTGTGTAACATACTTGGCTAAATAAAGGTGATTATCCTTATTTACAGACGGATTGCCAAAGATAGACTGAAAGTGTGTGAAAAATCAAAACCTGTATAAGGCTCCTGCTTATCCTCTCAAATGGATTTCATTAATCTACTAATCGGATCCATTTACATAACTGCTTCAATGCAGCTGTGGTTAAGCAGTTACTGCCCTCATTTTCCTTCATTTCCCACAGTGTGG